TTTCACTTGAAACACAGACTTCCTCTACATATATAGTATAGTCTTACAATATTGTGATATAAGGAAAATGGAAGAAACAAGGTGATTTTATTTAAAAAGTATATTGCTGGGGGCTGGGGAGATGGCTTAGTAGACTAAGTGCTTCCCTGGCAAGTACAAGGACCTGAGTTCAATCCATGGTTCCACACACACACAAAAAAAATCTTTGGGCCTGGGGAAATAGCTCAGTAGAATAAGTGCTTGCCTGGCAAGTGCAGGGTCCTGAGTTCAATCCCCGGTACCGCACAAAAAAAAAAAAAAAGAAAGAAAGAAAAAGTATATTGTTTGTGCTGTCCTGGCCCCGCCCTGGGATGCGCTGAGACAGCGACTGGGCATGGTGGTGCACGCCTGTAATCCCAGTGCTTGGGAGGCTGAAAACAGGATTACTATGAGTCTGATCTATATAGTGAGACCCTGTAGAACCTGTACGAAAATAATTAATAAATAAATAAATAAATAAATAAATATAAGAAGTATATTGTTGACTATTATGTTGTAGCCACTTGTAGTATTGATTCCTTCTAAAATTTTTACAAGATTTATGCTACTATTTTGACCCTTGACCTACATGTTTAAGGTTGCTAGATAAGGAAGCTGCACCCTTTACTGTTTGGACCATAGTTCAGAATCACAAGTAAAGTTGTAAAGAATCACAAGTAATGTTCTCTCAGTGACTGTGCAGTCCATTCACCATATCATTAACATTCCCTAATAGTGGTGACCTTGAAGTTAGGATTAATTAAATTATTTTCAGATATGTGTAGAATAGAGATTGGTGTTATAGTATCCTTAGGTAGGATAAATTCGTGGGCAGAGGTCTTAGAATATTAAAATCAAAGGTTTTGGTTAGGAAATACATTAAACATGTGAGAAGGAAAGAATTGCTTCTGCTTGTATTAGAGTAGTATCTTTGGAGTATATTTAAAAGAGAAAAAGCCTTCCTGAGTGTGAGGCTTCGGAAGAAACCTGGAGTAGCAAGCAAGGATATTATACTTCTGTGTGTGTATTTGAGGGTAGACAGATCCGGAGAGCACATCCACAGCCCCAACCCTTTGTGCCCCGCGTGGCAGCTCTTCGGGCAGTGCACAGCTCTTCATCTTCCAGCTCGCGGTATAAGTTGTTCACATCCACCATCCGGCCTTACTGAGAAGGTCTTTTGAATTTCAGGTAAAAAGCATCAGAATGAGTTTCAGCTTCTGGTGGATCAAGCCAAAAAAGGATATAAGAAAACTGGGGGAATGTCAAAAGACAAAGTAATGAAAAAAGATGAATCTACAGAAAAGCTGTTATCTGTGTGCCTGGGTAAGAAATTAATGCAATCAGAAGATAGTGAAGTTTAATATTTGTTATTAATATAAAAAGAAAATAAAATGTACTTTGTAGTTATTAGGTCTTTTTAAGTGAGAAAAGTGTTTTTAGGTCTACTTTGTGTGGTGGTTATCTAGAGTTATTAGTCTGGGGAAAGTGATGGGAAGATTGCCCTGAAGAAACAATCTCTGTCTTCCTTCAGCTCATGAAAACTTGGAAGTTCCTTAGTTGTTTAAATTGGAGGTTATTTTCTAGGTGCAGGATGTATTGCTGGATACCATAAGGTATACTACAAAGAGTATAAGGTATTATTGTTCTAAAACAGTGATAAAATGTCTATTTTACTAGGTAAAATATTCTGCTAAAGAGCCCAAAGCTGATGAACTTAGAATGTTGTGTATATAGCACATACCTTAATTTGGATGTTTCAAAATTTGAGGTTAATTGTTGTATTTCTGTTGTTGACAGTTTGGGCCAGTGAACAAAACAGAATCATAACGGGAAGAGACACACTCAAAAATTTTCTTTTCTTTTTTTTTTTTTTTTTTTTTTTAACCGGGGATTGAACTGAGGCCCTTGTGCTTGCAAGTCAAGTACATACTCTACTGAGCTATCTCCCTGGCCCCTCAAAATTTCTTTATCATTTTTTCTTTATTGCAGTAAAATAGACATAACACAATATTGGATCTTTTTTTTACCACTCACACATAAATATTGCTTTCATATTAAATATTTTCATAGTATCATATAACCATCCCTACTCTGTTTACCTAAAACTTTTGTCATCTACAACACAAACTATGCTCACTACATGATAAATCTCCCTTCTGTCTCTTCACAGCCCTGGTGGTCTCTATTTTCTGTACCCATGAATTTGCCTGTTCTAGGTGCTTCATATAAATGGAATTGAGCAATATTTACTCGGTGTTAGCTTACTTCCCTAAGCATAATATTTTCAGTGCCCATTGATGTCCTGGCACATGCTAAAATTGCTAGGCTACTTATTTATTTTGTTGCTATGCTAAACAGAACCCAGGGTCTCTTACATGCTAGGCAAGCTCTACATCCAAACTGCTTCCATGCCCCTTGTTACAGTTTAATAATATTCCATAGTTATATATGCTCTGTGTTGTATTTACCCATTTATCTGTCAGGGATTATTTGAGCCTTTGATTATTGGAATTATGTAAGCGAAGGTTTTCCAGTGTCCCAGTCCCTGCCTTCAGTTCCATGTTGAACCCTTTCACAAGCCACCCAGCTCTTTTCCTCAGCCACATTGTTTTTCATTCCCCCCAGCAATGCGAGAATGTTCTGTCATTTCCATATCCTGGTTAGCACTTCTTATTTTCTAAGTGTTTTAAAATTGATTTGTTATTGTTGAGGTCATCTTAGTAGGTGTGAAGTAGTTTGTTTTCCTGGTCTTGCTTCATGTGCTTTTTGGCCATTGGTTTTTCTTCTTTGGAGTATATTCAGGTCCCTTGATTGTTATTTTATTGGGTGTTAAGTTTAGAAGTTCTGAATATTAATATCTTATTTATATATGTGATTCACAAGTTCTTGTAAACTTCATGTATGTTGTCAGTCTGCTTTCTTGATAGTGTCATTCCATGTAAAATGTGCTTTCACAAAAAAAGCTTAATTTTGATGAACACTTGTGGTTTTGGTGTTGTGTCCCCAGTCATTGTCAAATTTAATGTCATACATATTTTTCTGTTAAGTTTTCTTATAGTTCTAGCCCTTACATTTATGTCTTGATTTTTTTATGTGGTAAAATGTAAGGGTCCAACTTGATTTTTTTTAATGAAAAAATAATACAAATTTTCTAACAAAGTGATGAGATAGTAGTAATAGTTAGTACACTGTATATTATTCTCTTCAAAATAGTTACTCAGAGTACAGCCACTTTGATTCTTTTGCAGGTAGATACCTAGCTTTTCTCACCACCATTTATCAAAGTCTTCTTTCTTCATTGAGTGCTCTTAGTCCTGCCGAAAACTGGCCAACCTTATGAAGATTATTTATTTATGTACTCCAGGGGACTGGATATCTGTCCTTTAGTCTGTACTATGATGTTGTAATTACTGTAGCTTGGCACTACATTTCAGAGTGGGAAAATTTGAGTTCTTCAATTTTACTTTTCCTTTTCAATATTGTTTTGGCTATTTGGGGCCTCTTGAGATTTTTTTATATGAATTTTAGGTTAGACTTTATTTTTTCTGAAAAAAAAAATTGTTAAGATTTTATTATTGTGTTATGTCAAATCTGTAGGTTACTTTTGGTAAGCCTTGGGGAAGGTGGGGTCTCATGTAATCTAGGCTGTCTCAGCCATACTGATACTGTAGTCAGAGGTGTGTACCACATCCCCAGCTTGAATAGACACATCTACAATATTAACTGTTTTAATTCATCAGTGGGAGATGTCTTTCCATTTAATTGTCTTTAATCTCTTATAGCAATTTGACAGCTTTTAGTAGACAAGTCTACTTCCTGAGTCCACTGATACTTTTAGTTGGATACTGTCTGCCCCAGTATGTTTGTCTTAGTTTTCAAACCACTTAAATTTGTGCGGTTGTTTAAAGGATAGTCTGAGAAGCTAGTCTGCCTCTTAAGAAGTTCTGGCTTGCTGTTTCCCACCAAGCAGCACTGCTTGCTGATAAGTGAGTCTCTCTTGAATGTCACTTGCACCCAGCAGTATAGTGCAGGGCTCTAGTAAATGTTCCTCTGAGCTTCAAGGTGAAGGCTGCTGTGTGGTTGCTGTGTGTGCATGGGGAGCAGGAATGAGAGGCAGGCCAGACAGGAGCTGATTGAAAATGGATTCTGTGTACCCTCGTACAACCAGTTCCACTTGTTCTGTAGAATAACACTGAAGTGCTCCTGTAAGTAAGCAAGACACACACACACAGATTCCTTCAAGTTGAATTCCTGTTCCGTTTTGGTTTGGTTTGGTTTGGTTTGGTTTGGTTTGGTTTGCTTTGTTTGTGGTATAGGGGATTGAAACCTTGGCATTCACTCTGAGCTACATTCCCTGTACTCCTTTTCTTTTAAATTCTGAGGCAAGGTCTCCCCAAGTTTCCCAGGCTGGGCGTAAGCTTATGATCCTCTTGCTTAGCCTACCGGAGTGCTGGATTCTCTGGTTCATCTGCTTGATTGCTTTTCCTGGCCAGTTGAGTGATGCCATTGGTTGAACTGTTTTTTAGAAGAGGTTTATTTTTTTGTTTTTGGTGCCAAGGACCAAACCCAGGGCTTCCAGCTTGCTAGGCAAGCATTCTACTGCTGAGCCAAATCCCCAGCCTTGGGCACATGGAGTCTCTTGGGATTAGTACCCTAAGGTGATCCATGTAAAGTGACTGCAAGAGACCCTAGAGATACTGGGTGGGTACCTTGTTCACTCCTTTTTCCCTTTCTCTGAAGCCTTAGAAGGGGCAGAACTTTGTTTTGGTGATGAGGGCTTATTAACAGGCAACATCAGAGTTTATACTCTGGTGATGTATGCCTTTTTCCCAGTGTAACAAAAACTTACAATCATTAAAAAAAAAAAAAAGCACTTTAAGTATATGAACTTGGAAAATGTTCTTTTTTGAAGAGTTTGATCTGTTCTTTTCCCATAAATTTTCTGTGTAACCTTGAAAGCTTGTTATGGTTTATATCAAGATGTAACCCCAGAGCCCATGAGATCATAGGTGGGGATTATTTGGAAGTGGCTGGATCTAGGATGTGTGGTGCTAGGATCAAGGATGTGGTGCTGGGCTTGATTCAGGGTGCAGTGCTAGGATTGAAGCTGCCCCACCTTGGGAGAGAAAGCTACCCTCTGTAAGGGTCGGGAGCCTGGATAAGATACCAGGGATAAAGAGAGGGTCGCTTGTCCCTTGTTGCTTCACTGCTTGCTTGCTTCTGCTTTGCTGCACTTGCCTGCCACAGTCTCTTTCTCTGCAGTGCCCCTCTGCCAAACCACCCTGCCTTGGAGTCAGCCCACTACAAACTGTGAGCTAAACAAACCTTTTCTCCTTTAACTCAGGGTGTCCAATATTTTGTCTCACCATTGAGAAAAGTAACTAAGATGTTCTTTTTAATGTCTTTTGTTAGAGTGCATTTACCTCTAATCACTGTCCTTGGGGGTATGTGAAAGCTCTGTTTCTTTGTGTGGAGGCACATTAAATTTAGCATGTGAGCTCGCTTGGGGAATAATTACTCAATTCCTCCATTTGCAAACACGTTTTATCTTTTGCCACATTGGGGGTTGAGCCCAGTGAGTACTCTAACACTGAGATACTTCCCCAGCCTTTTTCTTTCTTTATTTTGAGACAGAGTCTTGCTGAATTGTCTGAGAGGGACTTGCACTTGTGGTTTTTGTACTTTAATCTCTCTCATTACTAAGATCACACAACTTCTCAGTCTGAAATACAATGCAGATGAAGCAGGCATTCTAGGGTATTCCTATAATCCCAGTGCTTCTGGGAGGCCAACGCCGGAGGATCACAAGTTCAAGCACAGCCTAGGGAATTTAGTAACCCAGTGAGACCTTGTTTCAAAATAAAATTTTTAAAAATATTTCCATGGTTATCCCTAAAATAAGAAAATAATACTTAACATTTTAAAAATATATAAAAAATACAAAGGACTGGGGAGGTAGCTTAGTTGCTGGGTGGCTCAGTCTCCAATCCTGGATGGTGACGATGATGACGACACAAAAATCCCATCAGACATACAAAATGAGAGCACAAGTATGGGCACCAAGTAGCCTTGCACAGACAGACACTGTCCTTTGCACTCATCTTTGGAGACTTCTAGCCATACTTCTATGCCACATCCTTGAAAACGAGCTTTCTCTGAACTTTTTTATTTGTGTGCAATAAGAGACTTCACAAACTGAGAATAAGACTGGGCATTTAGTTCAGAGGTGCAGCAGCCTACCTGGCAGCTGTGAGGTAGTGAGTTCAATTCCCAGTACCCAAATGAAGGAAATTGAGAATGTAACCAAGGATGAATAGAAACATGATGTGTATTGGATGGATCAAATGGAAATATTTCTTACGTCTGATTAGTTTTTCTTTTCCATAATAAATACATTCTTTTAGTAGGTTTAGGATTCATATAAATTCACTATCACATAATGGTAACAAATATTGTTCTTTTATTAGTTCAGTATTTAGACCTTTTATTCCTTTAAATGTTTTATCTTTTTTTAAATTAGTGCATATGAATTTTATAGGGTTAATTTTGTCATCCTGTCTACCCCACCTCTGCCTCTTGCCCTTCCATCCCCTCTCACGCCCTTCTTCTCTAATCCCCTTCTCTTTCTGCTTTCACATCCTCTCTCTGTCCCCTTTCCCCCTCCTTCTCCCTTTCCCTCCCCATTCCACATAAAAGAAAATTTAATCCTTTTTGGTTATATTTGTCGGTGTTTTCTGATCCTTCACAGCCTTATTAGAATTACAAGGTTATCATTTCCAGTTTTAAAAGAAATTTTATTTTGAAATTAATTGTGGAATGACACAAAGTGGACCTTGTAATTAGGTAGCACGGTTGTGCTGATTCTTGTTCTCTAGGACTGTTTTGGGATGAGAGGTTTACAAACTTGTATTTTACTAAGTACAAATAACAATATTAAGTGTTATAGACATAATGGGCATACAGAGATGGTAGATTTTAAGGTAATCTTTAATTTTTTTTTCTATCTTTTTAAATGTTTTTCTTTTTTAGGACCTAAACATGATAAAATGCAATTCTCGCATGTGACGTCAGCAACAGACCATTTCCACCCATCACAGCTGGGCTCCCCAAGGAAGTTGGCGCCTGAGCAAGCAGATTATTCTTCTAGCTGTCCTGATGTTCAAGAAGCAGCTCTTCTCTCATCAGGGTCAGATTCATGCAATAGGTGAGGGACATGTGGTAACTGATTATTTTAAATTTCTGCTTCCTGTGTATGCATAGATAAATAGAAACAATTTCCAGGGTAGCTTTGAGGCATGAAGTTTGTCAGTTTTCTTCAATTTCAGTCTGTTTACTGCTCTGTTATCTTCACAGTGACAACAGGCCAGGATATGTGGGAGGGTAGTACAGTGACCAGAGGATGACTGATTTTTCACTCTGTAGCCTTTATAGAGGTCTTCAGAATGGGAAAAGAAACCAGGAGAAGCAGTGACATTTTTGTAAGTGAATGAGATAACTAGAAAGATGGGTGCTTAGCGAAGTAAAATGGGGGGTGGGTGCTAAGGATTAAAGCCAGGGGGCTTCTACCACTGAGATACATCCACAGCCCTTGTCTTAAACTTTGAGTCAAGGTTTTATTAAGTTTCTTAGACTGACCTTAAATTGTGATCATCCTGTCTCAACTGCTTCGGTAGCTGAGGTGACCAGCTACCATACCGCTACACTCAGCTAAAAAAGTGAAAGAGAAATTCGATTGAGTGGAATGATCTAGTGGAATCTTGGAAAATTAGAGATTTAGTGGTGAGCCATTTTGAAAAGATGGTGTATTATAGAAGGATAGTATTGAGTTATTTCATTAAAACAAATACAAGCATACCTGTTTTTGTTCATATTTTATATTTAGCACAGGTTGAACATCCTGTATTTGAAGTCTGAAATGCTTCAAAATCTGAAATTCTTACGCATCATAGTATATTCTGGGGGATTTCAGATTTGGAGTTTTTAGATTAAGAATGTTTAACCTAGGGGCTGGTGAGATGGTTCAGTGGTCTAAAGCACCTACTTAGAACAAGCTAAGCCAATCAAAGCACAGGGACCTCGGTTCAATCCCCCAGCACCACATGCCAGCCCGCCCGCCCCCTGGTGGGCTGAGCTGGCCACACACTAAATAAATAAATAAATAAATAAATATTTAAAAAAAAAAAAATGTTTAACCTACAAAGACCATGCAAATATTCCAAAATCTGGAGAACTGAAATTTTGTCCCAAGAAATTCAGATAAGATATACAGCCTATAAGTCATAAATAACCCTGTTTCTGTCGTGTTGAATGACTGCAGTTTTCTGTTGAGTTTCTATGTTGTAATTGACCAGCCCCCTACCATTTGCAGTAGATCTCTACCTATTCCTCATCGTTCTACTTTTGTAACTAATGTGTGACAAAGCTATTTCATTTGCCTCTGTTGAATTTCTTCCCTATTTTTACCATCCTTTTGGACCTGGTAGATACAGTTGTTACCTTCTGAATAAATTATCCCAATTTAAAATGTAGTTAGTAGCATATGATTATTAACATCGTAAGGTTCCTTCCTCTGGCACAAAAGAAAAGTGGGTGAAAGTAAAGAAATCCTTTATTGCTGAGCATAGGAGGCCTGCCAGGGAGAAACGGGAGATCCTGAGGGAGGAGACAGATTGGAGCTTTTATCGGATTGGATTAGAGATGGAGTTTGTATGCGCAGTCCAGTGTCATAACAGGCACTGATTAGGGGAGGTGTGCACATGAAAATCAAAAGAGGGCGTTCGTGGTCAATCTAGGAGCAGTTTGTCCTTGGTTTGTCCTTGGTTTTGTGATCTCTGTGCCGTGCTGACTCACTGCCATGACCCAGCAGACCGCTGCATGGGCGCAGACCCGTCAGACATGTCATGGCAACTATTTAGTGTTTGATATTAGTTCATTTAAAAATTAACACTATTCTAGGATGATAGATACTTGTATGAATCACCAAATTAAGAACTTCGTTTACCTGAAGGCCTCTGCTTTCCTAGGATTGCTGGGAGAATAGCTTTGAATTGTTCATAATCAATATTAGGAAGGGAAAAATCTTCCTACTTCATCCCAAAGGTTTTTAAGGTCAAAAATGTGTTTTTAGTTAACTGAGGAATGACTCAGTTGTTATATGCTAGATTTGGCCATTCCTGCCAGACCAGCAGGTAGTATTTGTTTTTAAACACAAATCTTCATGAGCACAAGATAAAAATTGAGAAAAGTCAGAGAGAAAGAATTATTTAAATTAGATGATTTAATGTTTTGGAATGCCATCATGAAATGGGTCATATTTGTGGACAGCCAGTTTACACTGCAGTTATGACCAAGTCCAAGAACCACACCATGCACAGCCAGTCCCGAAAATGGCACAGAAATGGCATCAAGAAACTTCAGTCACCGCCAGGGAGATTACTCAGTGGAAAAAGTGCTTCCCTGGCATGTGCAAGGTCCTGAGTTTGAGCCTAGTACCACCAAAAAAAAGTCATTATGGGCTAGGGAGATGGCCCAGTAGAATAAGCACTTCTCTGGAAAGCGCAAGGGCCTAAGTTCAATCCCCAGTTCTAAAAAAAAAACCTCAGTCACAAAGATACAAATCTCTGAAAGGGGAAGATCCCAAGTTCTTTAGGAACATGCGTTTTGGCAAAAACCACAACAAGAAGGTCTTCATGAAGATACAAGCAAACAATGCCAAGGCCATGAGTGCATGTGCCAAGGCTATCAAGGCCCTCGTCAAGCCCAAGGAAGTCAAGCCCAAAATCATTCCAAAGGGAGTAAACCACAGTCTCACTCGACTTGCCTGTATTGCCCACCCCAAGCTTGGGAAGTGTATCCATGTCCACATTGCCAAGGGTCGCAAGCCTTGCCAGCCAAAGGCCCAGGGTCCAGCCAAGGCCCAAGCTCCAGCTTCTGCTCCAGCCAAGGCCCAGGCTCCCAAAGGTGCCCAGGCCCCCATGAAGGCTCCACAGTAAAAGCCTCTTACCTGCTGATATAAAAAACAGAAGGACAGGTGTGACCCCTGGGGTGCCATCTGTGGGGGGCTGGTGTCCTCCTGTGCTCTTTGTACAAATAAACCTGAGGCAGGATATGTTTAAAAAAAAAAAAGAAAGAAAGAAAAGGGTCCTATTTGTGAGCTTAGAAACAGGAAACACATGGCACTGCAGTGTGTAGGAATATGGAAAGCAGAGTGTAATGGTTAATGCTTTGTGTCAACTTGAGAAGTTGAGAAGCTTAAATCACTCAGCAGTTCTGCATCCTAGAGTATAGAGGACATGCTTTTATGCTCCAGGTATAATGATTGATTAATTGTGTCAACTTGAGTTTAGAAGTTTAAGGGACTCAGTAGAGAGCCAGGGTCCTCACTTTGTAAACATCCTCATTTTGTGCTAGAGGAGGGCCTGAGGTGGTGCGAGTGCTCCACCTGCCCTAGGGCTTATAGCCTGCATACAGTGTAAGGGAGAAGAAGAGGTTCTTCACTGCACCCCCTTTTTGCTCTTGTTGCTTTTGCTTTCTTCTACTGCCTTGAACTATTGCCCCTGAGCCATGCCATCCTGCCTTAGAGCCAGCTGCTTAGACTGAAACCTCCACAGACTGTGAGCTAAGTAAACCTTTCCGTCTTCCATTTCGGTGTCGGGTATTTTGTCTCAACAATAAGAGAAAAGTACCCAAGACACAGGGTGAGTTTGGAGTCTTGGCCTCAGAGTGACTTATCACTGAACTGTGAAAGGGAGACCGAAAAGGAAAAGGCCAGCAGGTTAATCGTAGTTGTACACTTGTAATCCTCTGTAGGAGGCTAAGGCAAGAGGATCATAATTTTGATCCCAGTCTACACAACTTAGTGGTTTAGTGAGATCCTTTCTCCAAAAGAACTGCAGTCAGAGGGGCGGCCCTAGGAAAATAGCTCAGTGCAAAAGCCCTGCGTTCAATCCTCACTACTGCAAGCAACAACAATAAGCAAAACAAAAACCCATACCATTGCTTTTAGGTATACAGTACTATGGCTCAGGAAATAGAGCAAACAGTAGATAGTATCTGGGTAGTAGAAATGGTAAAGGAAATGTGGAATGAGCCTTCTTGGGTCGTTGTTTTAGTTGTAAGAGAAAATCTCAAAGGATCAACTTATGAAGAGCAAAGGTTTCTCTCAGCTCACTGTTTTTTAGTTTCCAGTGCATGTTTGGTTGGCCATATAGCTTTGGGGCCTTGGCATGTCCACACAGCATGGCAGAAGGCTGTGGTAAGGCAAAACCCACTCACCTCGTGGCCAGCAAGCATAGAAGGGAAGGGGCCATGACCCCTACTCACCCATAGAGGGCATGCATCAGTCACCTGAGGATCTTATGTGAGGGCCCAGCTCCCAAAAATTCCTCCACCACCTACTATTCCAGTGGTGCCAGTCTGGGGACCATAACTTTAATAGATGGGCCTGTAGCTGACATTCAAGATCCAACCATAGCTAACAGTTTACTAAGATGGGTTTAGTCCAAGGTCTGGTTGTTGTAATTCTTTACTTAGTCCAAGGTCTGGTTGTTGTAATTCTTTACTTTGACAGAAGTGCCAAGAGGTGAAAAGTACTTACCATCAGCAACTTATTGCTCCTCCTGTCTGTCACTTTGTTAGGGGATTGGTCTTCATTATTATTAACCCGACTCCTGACCATGGTCCTGGGTAATATAGACCATTTTTCTGCCCATCCTTCATGCTTTTCCCTTGGATCATACATCATTATCCTTATGAGACATTTTGAGATGATAATTTTATTAGCAGACCAAAATGAGCATATTGGCTTTAGGTTCTCTATGATAGAGTTGGACATTGGGTTCACGTAATCAACAAGTATATATTATATGTCAAGCAGTATTTCCGATGTTTAGCCGTGATCTATTACTTTTGTTAAAATTTAAAGCCTATGTTCTGTTTCGCATTATAGTTGATTATGCTGTGTATATGTGTGTACATATGTGTGTCTACACTGCCAAGGCCCTGTGAAAGTAGCTAAAATTTGCAAATTTTTAATAGCTTTGTTAAGACAGTTTACACAACATACAGTTTACCTATTTAAGTGCACAATTCAGTAGTTTTTGGTATATTCACAGGATTGCCCAGTCATCACATCAGTTTTAGAACATTTTTATCACCCCAGAGAGAAACCATGTCCCTCAGCAGTAACTCCCCATTCTGCCCTTC